TCCGGTGGGGCTCAAACTAGGGGCAGCCAGAACCATTGAATATAAACAAAAGAAAGAAAAAAAAAACAGCTGCAAATAAAAAGAAAAAAAAAAGTGATATATTCCTCAACCCAATTTCATCTACTAGTTTCGCGTAAAGAGTCAGCAGCTTTTCCGATTTTCTGATCAGGTAAATTCATGACTTTTATCTATGTATATTTTCCAGAATTTCTTGTTGTTTTGTGTTGAATTTTGATCTAGTTTTTGTTTTTTTGGTGTGATTAGATTCAGATTTGTTTGGATTTTGATGGCTTCGAAACGAATATTGAAGGAGCTGAAGGATCTCCAGAAGGATCCTCCTACTTCATGCAGCGCTGGTGTCTAATCTTTCTTTCCTCTTGTTCTGATGTGTTTTTGACTTTTTTTTTAATGCTTTTGTGTAAAGTTTTGATTTTTACCTTGTTTGGTTATTGATCCATGGTTTAGAAACTCAAATGTCAATTTTTAATCTTAGTTGAGATGATTTTAGGGTTATGATTTTCTTGTATTGTAATGGTTCGTTCTGTAGTCAAAGATATATATATATATATATATATATATATATATATAGCTAGATTTGATGAGTGCTCAAATGTGTAGCTTGATTTGTTATTTGTGAGTAAAGTTCGTGTCGCCTTGAGCAGCTGGATTAATTCACATACAGAGTAACTCTGGTAACACATTTAACACATGGGTTTGCTATGTTTTGTTCATGTTAGCTCTTTGTCTAAAATGTTGATCTTTGACAATTATCACTTCATTCATTTCCCTCTATTCTGCATAGCACAAATGGCATTTGCATTGAAATTTGAATAGCCACTTAAGTCTTCTGTGATGCACAAAGTAGACGATTGAAACCTTGGAGCCTTAACCCTTTAAGTTTTAAGGGGTGAATTAGTAAAATTATCTTCTTATTTATGATCTTTTGATATGCGTGTAAAAAGGAAAGTGTTCAACTAATATGGGACAGGGGAGTAGTATTGTAGCTATGTTACCTTTTTAAAGATAGAGGGGCCATTGCATTATCCGTGAGTTTTGAAGGTTGCAGTGATTGGCCCTTAACAGTTTAGCTAGTCATCAAAAAAAGAAGTTGTAGCTATCTTACCTTTTAAAAAGAGGATCTCAAGCTTATTTTTTACAACAGGAGGATTATCTATAAACATGATAGTTCATGTGCATTTCTTTTAATTAGCTTCCGTGTATAATATGATTCATGCTTGACTGTCTTCATACATGATATACATCTGGATTTGACAATTCTTATTTGAATTATTGTGAGAGGGCATTTTCACTATTCTTCATCTAGATGTCGCGCACATGTTCCTGCATCTGTAAAAGATGTACATGCTATGTTATCTGTTATTCTTTGACATTGACTTCCTAACAACTTTGTAACAGGCCCTGTTGGAGAGGACATGTTTCACTGGCAGGCTACAATAATGGGGCCCTCTGATAGCCCTTATGCTGGGGGTGTTTTTTTGGTCACGATCCATTTTCCTCCGGATTATCCATTCAAGCCTCCTAAGGTATCTTACAATTGCAAATTACTTTGAGTTAATGATGTCACTGCTGGCGACTATTCTATTTGCAGATGCCTTCTTACTTGATTTTGCATATTGGAAGTTTGGAACCTAGTTTTCTTGCTTTTTTGACTTTATTTTGCTAGAGTGTTTTTAGTGATGTTCATATAGATCTCCTAGTAATGAGCTTGTAGTTGTGGTGCATACTTTTGAGTCATTGCGATCAAGAAGAGAAGTTGATTTTTGCTGTTAACTGATCGTGTGTCATTAGTGGAGCCTTCTCTGGCTTTATTTTCTATGCTTGTTTGTTAGACTGTCACCTTGCATGAGAAACACATTTTCAAGATTTTAGTCTAACGCACATATAAAAGCATGAGTATGTTTTTAGAATGGTACGTGTTATGCTACTTATATCAGCATGTGACACAATGCTTGTCTTTGTAACTTTTGGTCTAGATAAGGTGATTAAGGAGGAATTGAGATTTCATCTTCCAATTTTGTTTTTAATAGTGCCTTGGACTATGCATACTTTTACATCATTTATAGAAAGAATGAATGGGATTCTCTTTGGGGAGGGTTGAGAGTTCAGCTTCTTTAGAATCAAGTTGGTCAGTCTGGTTCAAATCACAGATTTCTTGCAAAAAAAAAATCCTCTATGAGACTTCAAATGTGCGGATTTGCTGATCCATGGTCAATATAACTAGGCTAGGTGGTCTACATGACTCATGTATGTTTTATACACACATACTGGTCAATGATGATTTTTTCCCAAATTACTGATTAACAGTTGATTAATATAAAAGATCACCATCTTTCGGCTAAGGTTGCATCAAGAAAAAATAAATAAAAAATACACACATACTGATACTCACACACAAGAAAGAAAAAGGAAAAGGAAATACATAGATCTATTTGGAGCAAGTGATTATTGAGGATTTAGATGGCTACCACACTAGTCTATATTGAGGCATGGTTGATAGGGAGGGCTATTTAGAAAATTTTCATGTCAAACTAATTGTTTCTCTTGTAAACCTTTAGTTGGTGAACCTGAACATGTAAATTCATGTGCATCAGCTTATAAACTGCAGTTTCCCTCTAGACTTTATTGTGTAACATTTATTCGTTAAATCCTTGCAGGTTGCTTTTAGGACAAAAGTTTTCCATCCAAATATCAATAGCAATGGGAGTATATGCTTGGACATACTGAAGGAGCAGTGGAGCCCTGCATTAACTATTTCCAAGGTCCTTTCTTACCTTTATCTGCTGAGCAATAATACAAGCTATGAAAACATACCTATTCCGAGGCTTGGGACCTTCATGATATAAGTGCCTTTTCAAATAGATTTTGATTCATTAGCTAATTGTGTATAATCTGTAGGATAGCTAATGAAAATTTATCGACTCTTTAAAAGGGAAGATCGTTTAATTGGGCATCATAGATAATAGGTGACCTAATATTATTCCTTAATAGCTTTAGGGAGCAATGATGAAAACATTTTAACCGTCTAATGTGTCCTTCATAAAGCACTTTGATTTTGGTTGCATAGGATAAGATATTGTCCCCGATTCTCTGCTAGTAGCATCATTTGTTTTTTTTCTGAAATTATGAGTTCTGTTAAATGGCTTTCCAAGACCAGTTAAAACTGGTTTGTGTTTCGCGAAGCATGTTGTGTTATTTATGTTTCTTAAGGTGGGAAAGGATTCTGGATTACATTTCAGGTTTTGCTTTCAATTTGCTCACTTTTGACGGACCCAAACCCTGACGACCCCTTGGTTCCTGAGATTGCTCACATGTACAAGACTGACAAGTCCAAATACGAAGGAACCGCCAGGAGTTGGACCCAGAAGTATGCCATGGGTTAAAAAATTTAACCCTATGATGGCTTGAACTGATATAAACAAAAACAAATTTCAAATGTTTTATCTTCTCTATTCTCCATTAACAATGTGTAGAATAGCATTAGGCGTTGCTTCTCTACAGGAAGAACGATAATGCTTTGAATTTGTTTATGTATGAATACTAATATTTGAACTTTGAACATGTGTGGGAAGCGTATGTATCTGCTTTTTGACTGTTTCTGTTGGTTTGACGATCAATTTGTGTAATTAATTCCATACTTCAAAAGCCTTTTGTAAATTCTACCGTGTTTATTAATACGGATAACTATAGTTCAACCTGGATATACTTGCTTCCCTCCATGTTTTGGAGTCTATTCAGTAATATGTCCGAGTTAGTTTGTGTGCATCTACAACCAAAGTTCCAGCAGAAATCACATAGCTTGTCTTCCTTGGAACTCGAACCTTATTACTTGGGTCCGATTCTTCTGCAACTTAACCATCTAGCATTGGAGGTTTATTCATTGACCGACTTTTCTCTCTTCTTTGTATCGTTCCAATTAATTCGGATCTCTCTGAAAAGACCATTGCTTACATGATTGAATGTGTAGGAGAATTAGTGTTGTTGATCCTTTGCTTGGATCGTGAGTGTTGAAAAGTGAGTGAAAATCATATTCTTTTATCTGATAAGTTGTCAAAGAATCCACTTTTTTCTTTTTTTACCAACGTGAGTCACATTTGGCAATGATTTACATTTTCTTTTTTTTTCTTGTTGCTAATTCTGCAATTACTATTTATTTTCTTTATTTATGTAATATAGTTAGTAGATAATATGAAACCACGATAAAGAAAAAACAGCAAGCCAGCCTAGTATAGCAACGTAACTTAATTAATACGTTAGCAAACCTTCCGATGATGATGATATATAAACGATTTTGGCTCACTTGAAAATTGAGACATAGTTATTTAGTTGTTTTTTCTATTATTTGAATTCATTATTTGTACATGTTAAATAGAATTCATTATTTGTACATGTTAAATAAGTCTAAGATAAAAATCAGTTTGAACCATAATATTGTATATGTAAATGACAAAGATAAACCCACAATTCAGAATTCTAGTCATTTAAAACTATTGAGTTTTTAGTTAATAATTTTTATATGCGTGTAATAAATCTTGTACAAAAATAAATTTTAAATTAAAATTATTGAGTTGAGTCGAATTCGTACAAAGCACAACTCTACCCCATATTGAGTACGAATACGAGAACGTGTGGGACAGTTAACAGCTAAAGGTTTCAGCAGCAGACAAAACTTGCTATGAAAGGATCACCACATGCAAAAAAAGAAGAAAGAAGACAACAATGCGATTTTCTAGGTTTCAATTTGTTTGTTCTATTTTGATTTGACACAAAGTTAAATAAAATTTAAAATACTTTTGAACTTATTATCTTAAAGATATGTCAAATATATCAAAATGTAGTTTAGTTTTGTGATTTTAATATAAATTTAAAATTTAAAAAAAGTAAGACAATCAAATTGAGACGTAGACGTACAGAACCTAAAAATGATTAGGCTAAAGTATACCAAATCCAGACCACTAAAGTAGGAACAGAGCTCTACCTTACATTCCAAGTGATCTTAATAATTTTCCCAAACAAACAAAAAAAAAACATGAAAAGAAGCGGAATTTTAAAAAGCAAAGGCAAGGTAGCCTTTTCAAGTATAAAATGAATTGATTGATGCTGCTTTTTTTTTACCATATGATATATGAAGATGAATAATACTACTTACAAAGATTTGCATTATCTTAGTGAGAGAATAGAGGTTTTATATGATGAAATTAGTGATAGAATCCGTCGCGAAGAAATTAATTTCTGTACACATTGTGCTGAACATGGTCGTTATTGCGGAATTGTAGACCTCACAATGGAAGATAAGGAGAAATTAATTTCAATTCAAGACTCATTAAAGGATCTTCAGAACATCCTCCAGTTCTACCAGGTTCTGATTATTAGTTCTTTTTCCTCTTTTCTAATTATGAGTAACGATTTATGATTTTAGATGAGACGGTCATACACGATTCAATATGCAAGTCATTATGGGTTTGAGTCTACTTGTACAATGCAGGCATTGGAGTCTCGGCAGCAGAGACATCACAACGGGGCGCTTGTCCGGTTGGAAGCAAGTAGAATGATACTGATAGACAAATTAAATAAGTATCCAACATGGGGAAACAAACTACAAGTGATTGAAGAACTAAAAGAGTATTTTGGCAAAGGCATTGCAGATGCATCATCATTTTCTGAGAATTTGGAAAAAACACAACAGAAACAGAGTGAAGATGAGAAAGACAAGAAGAATAGTTCAAGTTTGTTGATCATTTGCATAAAAAGTTTATTCAATCCATGGAATTGGTATCGCGTGACTAGAATTGCTGCGATAGCATTGATATTTAACGTTTACAGGAATAGAATGCAAGATAAGAATAAGATGTCTGGTCCAAGATTGCAAATAGGCTATTTAGATAGCCAATTAGCTGTTTCATATGGAAAGGGATAACTCATAACCATGAGTGTAAAGGAAGCAACTGTAGTAGCTACACCGACACTTCCTTTCAAGGAAAGGGATGATCGCGTGTACTTTTTTTTTTTTAAAAAAAATCAATCAAACGAATATACTTCAAGTTGTTTGCTGAAATAGCCTTGAGTAAGTTGTTTGCTGAAATAGCCTTAAGTAGTGATGAGTATGATTCCAATTTATTTGTGTAAGGCATATATATATATATATATATATATATTACTAGTTCTGGAAACGTGCCTTGCATGTTTGACCTCAGTTACTGTAATAATTTATATAGGCCCAAGATATAAAATTGTTCGACATTGTCTGACGTACTCCTATATGTTTTTTTGTGCATATAAAATAAATTTTTTTTAGTGTTTACTTTTTCCTAGAACTTAAATATCAATAAATTTTTTGGTGAATGATGAACAACTTTAAAGTCTAGAACTAATCCCCAAGGTTGAAATTTCTTGAGACATAAATACTCCAACAATCATTAAAAAAAAAAATGAATGAAGGACACAAACCAATAAGAAAAAGTGACCAATAAAAAAAATTACAAGAACTATTAGATTATGTGTTTCTCAAATAACCATGAAAATAAAAAATGAACGAAGGCACAAATCTACGTCAAGTTAAGCCGTTGCGCGCTAGCAGTTACTCTTTAGAGATATGGAACTCCAAGCCGATCAACAGGCCCAAGGAGAGTTCAAGGACTTCTTGTTAAATAAGAAAAATAGTGACCAATAAAAAAAATACTCCTTAAAGAACTATTAGATGGTGAAAATAAAGTGTGGTGGATTAATATATTTTTTATTCAATTTATAAAGGAAGAAATTAAGTACATGAAAGGTTTTGCATGAATGTGTTTAATGGTAGAAGCTACAAAGTTTTAACAATCAAATTCATTAAGAAATGGAAAATGATAAGTTGTAACATCTAATAATGTATTTGGTCTAGTTTAATTGTCGTTATTGATTTAATTTTAAAAATTAATAAAAGATTTTTTAATTTAAAAAATTGGTGAAGGATATTTTCATAATCTAACTTTAAACTTAAAATCTTCCCACTTATAATAATATTTTATGATAAAGTATACCCTATATGCGTACATATTTTTAAACTACATGTCCCAAAGGTGTTGGGCAATAATTTTCTCTAAAGGAGAATTGTTATGAATCATCCCCAACCCGATGTAGATACTAGCTAAAATGTTATTATGTGTGAAAACATAGTAAAATATCACGAAATAAAATTTTAAACTCATAAAATCAAAAGTACAACGAGTACGTTACTACTAAGAAATTAATAGGTCCAAAGAAAAGCTCCCATGGCAAACTTCCTCTTATGGTTTACATCACCATGAATTGGAAGTCCATATTGTGTAAGCAAACAATCCACCTTCCATTCTGCCATACTCTCATAATCAACCTTTGTATATTTTGGGTAATGCAATGGCATTTGAAATCCAATTCCCCCACAATCATTTGATCGTGCCATCGAGTCCATACTTATGCATGACACTTTATTATTTTCGATCCTAACACATCGTGCTCCACCATTTGCTTGTGTCATCGACTCGACACCAACACCACTCATTTTTTCCCCCTCTCTTTCTATAGTTACAATTATAATTAATATATGCTTTGGAAATATAAGATTAATAATGTTTTGTGTATTTATAGAGGAATTAGAAGAGAGAGAGAGAGTTCATTAAGCAAATTAAATTATGGACATTGTCGAGGTAGATGTGTGGTATTATTAGATTATTTTAGTGGTGATATATTTTGATAGTAACGAAGGATTTAATGTTGTTTTTCTATGTGATTTATGCTGATGAATACAATGAATAAGAAAACCAACAAGTTGTTAAAATAAAATTTAAATTTGGGATAATAACTATAAAAAAAATATTATGTTTATTAAATTAATAAGTAATAGTTTAGATATGAAATTCACACGCTAAAATTGTGGTGTCAAAAATGAACCTCTATACAAAAATACATAAATTGATCTCCTAAACTTGTCCACGCTTTTATTTTGACACTTTAACTAGGACTAGTACCGTCTACGTTATTGAAAATGTACATATTGAACACAATTTTGATACAAAGAGAAGTTCAGGCCGGAGTGACCATTTTTCAGATGCTCAAATTTGTTTGAAAGAGAGATAGTTTCTCATGTTAGTGTCGATTGTCCACAAGAGACCATGAAGATATATAAGGTGTCTAGATGCTATGTAGGGAATTGGGTAAGGGTTGTAGATTTATTATTTCACCATGGTTAAGTAATATATATTCTCATTTAATATCAGTAGGTATTTGCATTTTTTTCATCATCCATATATGTTCAAGATACCTCATGAAAATCTACTTAATTCATATCAATATTATATTTATTTTCTTAAAGAGTTAACTGTAAAATACATTTAAATAATTAATTTTTTCGTGATTTTTAAACCTTTATATCCATGTTCTATTTACATAACTAATTGTCATTTTTTTAAGAGTTTCATATTTCAGTTATCACTTCTATATCATAAAATAGACCTCGATATTGCATTTCCCTTTCCCTGTCTTTTGTTCAAGCTAATACTGAAAGTGCAAGAGGGAGTGGGGTAAATTACTTCACATAGTTTCAATATATGGTATTAATAATTCAAATTTACACTTTGAAGTTTTCTACTTTTAATAATATATAATTAAATGTGGTATGTATATATTGACTAGACGTAAATATATCGTGCAGATAAATTTTTATCCCTTTATTTAAAACAGTTAACAATGACGTGTATTTATTGACTAGGTAAAACTTAAGAAAATATATAAAAATCTTTCCGAGACCAAATTTGTTCTAAGAAATTTATAACCAAAATCGGACCAAAATATCTCGATTTACTTGATATAATTTTACTATACGATATTAGTAATTAAACTTTGCACTTTGATGTATTCAATATACTTTGAAGTGCAATAGGGAGGGGGTAGATATACTTTACATAGTTTCAATATATGGTATTAATAATTCAAATATACACTTTGAAGTAATAACATATAATTAACTGTGTTATGTATATTGACTAGGTGTAAATATATTGTGCAGGTAAATTTTTATCCCTTTATTCGAAACCGTTAATTATGACGTGTAGTTATTGACTTGATGTATCGTAAGAAAATATATAAAATCTTTCCTAGACCAAATAGTTATAAGAAATTTATAACCAAAATCCGACAAAATTATCTCGATTAACGAGATATATTTTCACTATATGATATTAGTAATTCACCGTTGCACTTCAGAGATTTCAACTTTTAATAATACATGATTAACTATGACATATACATATTAACTAGGTGTAAATATCTTTTGCACGTAAAATTTTACCCTTTTAATTAAAGCAGTTAACTATGGTGTGGATTTATTGACTAGGTGTTGTTTAAAATATTTTGTAAAATTCTTTTCTAGACAAAATTATTCTAATAAATTTATGAAAAAAACCAGACCAAATTATTTAGATTTACTTGACATGATTTCAATATGTAAATATTAATAATTCAAATTTTGCATTTTGGAGCTTTCAACTTTAATAATATATAATTAACTATTGCATGTGAATATTGACTATGCATAAATATCTTGTATAAATAAACTTTTATCCTCTTATTTATGCCAGTTAACTGTGGCGTACATTTATTGATCAAATGTATTTTAAGAAAATATACAAAAAACTTTCCTAGACCAAATTGTTCTAATAAATTTATAACAAAAATCAAATAAGATTATCTAGATTTACTTGACATAATTTCACTACATCATATTAATAATCTTTGCATTTCGGAGTGCTTCACTTTTAATAATATATGTTTAACTATGACATGTACATATTGACTAGGCGTAAATATCTTTTGCAAGTAAAATTTTATTCTTTTATTTAAAGCATATAACTATGATGTGTATTTATTGACTAGGTGTATTTTAAAAAACTATGTACAAATCTTTCCTAGACCAAACTGTTCTATTAATTTTATAACCAAAATCAGACAAAATTATCTAGATTTACTTGACATAATTTTACTATATGGTATTAATAATTCAAATTTTCACTTTAAAGCTTTCACTTTTAATAATATATAATTAATTATGTGTTATTTGTAGTTTTGATGATTTGACAAACTTAGGGACCTCATAAAGGTACCGGGTTTTCTACTTGAGTATTGCAGGTGTCTTCTTTAAAGTATTGCAGATGAAACAAACTCAGGGACCTAGTAGAGGTACCAGGCCCTCATGATAATAAGCCAGTCAACTGCCAGCTGGAGACGTACAGAAAGTAGGTGCACACTTCCCGATGGCGTCAGAAAAGTGTGACCTTTCCAACCAATGACAAAGAAGTTTAGGAAAGTGACTTGCCCATATAAAAGACACTTTCCTAAACATTTTTTTTTTCCAGTTTTTGCAACTTGAAAAACACTTTTCAAGAACTCTTGCAAAGGCTAACACAAAGCATGTACAGAATCATTCCTAGGACAACAGCAACATCTGGAGCTTTTCGTCTAGTTGTTTAGGAATTTATTCTCTTGTTCTTAAATTGTAAACCACTCCTAAATCTATAAAGGAATTGGTGTGTTGTGTTAAAAGTCTAGGTTGTCCTGGTGGAATAGCTTAGTGGGTAGATTGTTTTTCTACTCTTGTTGAGCAATAGAGGTCTATTGCTTAACGGTAAGATTGATAACTCTTTCTTACGTTTGGTGTAACCGTGTTTCGCTTTTGCTTTTGAAGATTAGTGAAAACGATTGAAAATCCTGTGAGACAGGTCGTGGTTTTACTCCCTTAAGCAAGGAGGTTTCCACGTAAAATCATTGTGTTGATTTTACTGCATTTAACTTTCTGGTAATTTTCTGAATTAAAGTAAGGGACCTGGTCCATTACTCGTTAAGTGAAGGCATACATTCTATCATTATGTTATGTACATATTGACTAGGCATAGATATCTTATGCAAGTAAACTTTTATCCCTTTATTTAAAGTCATTAACTATGTCATGTATTTATTGACTAGGTGTATTGTAAGAAAATATATAAAAATCTTTCCTATTCCAAATTGTTCTAATAAATTTGAAACAAAAATCAGACAAAATAATCTAGATTTACTTGACATAATTTCAGTATATGGTATTCATAATTCAACTTTAGACTTTAGAGTTTTCTACTTTTAATAATATATGATTAACTATGAAATATATATATTGACTAAGCGTAAATATCTTGTGTAAATGAACTTTCACCCTTTTATTTAAAGTAGATAACAATGACGTGTATTTATTGACTAGGTGTATT